TCATTTAAAGAATGATGATTTAAGTAATGATACCTTAAGGAATGATGATTTATAAAATGATGATTTAAAGAATGAAGATTTAAAGAATGAAAATTTGAAGAATGATGATTTATAGAATGATGATTTAAAGAATGATGATTTTAGGAATCATAATTTAAGGAATGCTGATTTAAAGAAATATGATTTAAAGAAATATGATTTAAAGAATTATTAAAAATTCAGTGACTTTTTTTGAACAATTAAAATTGGAATATTATATTCAGAAACTGAAGGTTCTAGTCTCTGATCTGATCCTTATTCTTAGGAGCTTAGAATGGATTAATCTCGTAGGCTCGCTGCCAACAGCCAACTGCAGAGCTGGAGAAAACTATGTTGCGTAGTTTGGAGCGCGAGGGTATATGCACATACTTGAGTCCAAATACAGGTGGGGACCGCTTGCACCAATTATACTGGCACTTGTACTTTATACTAGCCGACTACGGCATACTGACAAGATCGGATTCTGTTCGAACGACTGAGACTCTGTATTTATACTTATATTGGTTTTATATTTATAAATGCATCAATCTATAAAGTACTGTGAGCACTCGATATTTAGACTTTGATGCATTACAGTCAGTACACTCAAGTGACCCGAATGACACGTTTGGGTTAGGTGTGAGAAAGCGCGATGGAAAATATAGGACAGATTACGAGGAAATTGACTACCGGCGTGCTTCCAGGTTGTTTGTTTGCATGTTTACTAGTTGTGTTAGCGTTAAAGTTTTTAATTTGGGAACATTATCTACGTTTCAGACTAGTGTGTACAAATCATTATAATTTGCACATTAGAATCTAAAAGGTAAATACAGTTCAAAGAGACTTTCCACATCAGCATTTATAAGGTTATTATCGTTCTGCGATTGGCTAAGGACGGTATGTTTATTTGGAACAGTCTATTTGAATAGGAAGGTATTCTTTGACTTGCATCCACATTTAAACCGCGTAGAGTGAAAAGTGAAAAGTTCTTTTGAACAGACTCGATGCGTTTACTATGGACGCCGCACTTAGATAGGAGGAATTATAGAAGTATATAAGAATTTAGTAATATAGGGTTCATTGAATTCTTTCGACCATCGTTAAATTAATCCAAGCCCATCCCTGGCTCTATTCACCAAAACGAAATATGATCGATAAAATCAGGTTTAGGGTCCAAGCGGACGCAAAAATCAATTGAAATAATTCTTTCCAAAGAGCAGCAGTTCAGCGTCTAAGTTTCGAGCCCTTAAAGTTTAATAAGTTTACACGGCACCATGTTTGAAAATTATGAAGATCTGCTTGTAAATCCGACTGGCAGGCGACGTCCTTACATTGCACGCAAAGCTTGACGCCATCAGCGTACATTAGAACTCTGGGGTTAGTCAAGTCTTTGGGCAGGTCATTAATAAATAATGTAAATGCGGGACGCCAGATGTAACCCTTAGAACATTAGATATATTATTTCTAAAGTGGACCTTTTGGGTCCTGTCATTCAGATAACTTGAGATCCAATTAAGAAGTTCACTTGAAAACGCATTTAATCGAGTTTTCTTACAAGGAGAGAATGGTTAACAGAGTCAGATGCTTTACTTAAATCAGTATAGATTACATCTGTCTGAAAGTTATTATGGAAACTAAAAATAATATAGGAAGCGGTCTTCTCTTAATAAATCCATGTTGACACGGATAACTGATTTTCAAAAGTGCTGAAAATGAGGTGTTTAATAGTTTTTGTAAAGTTTTGGGATAGCCGACAACTTAGAGATTCCTCTATAATTGCTGGCATCCAATTTGCTACCTTTTTATGGAGAGGAATAATAATCGATTCCATCCAAGTAATGGGAAAGTGGGAGGTTTCTAAGGATAAGGTAAACAATTTCAGAAGGGGATATCACAGGGCGTCGTCACAATACCTGAGCACACAGCTAAGAATTTCATCTGGACCTGGCGAATAAACTGACAAGAGCTATAAGAAGATAGTTTTCTTTTAGGATTGGACTGAAAATTAAGTTATATTTTGGTATGACGTATGAATAGTATGAAAATCAACGGGGCTTTATTCGAGACTAGCGGCCCGTCTCGGCTTCGCACGGGCATTAAACATTACATTTAGATTTGTCAATTTTAACACATTCATAATAATAATAATAATATTACACATATTCATCCTTTATTTATTTATTTATTTTTTTCAATTATTGAGGTCATAACCCTAAAAGAAAATACATTTATTTTGTTAGTGCTTCTCTTTAAACAATATTTGATGTTGTTTTATTTTGTGGCAGCAAAGTAAATTGATTTTCAGGGGCTCCGACTCGCGATAGACCAACATACAGTTGACCATGAGTTAAACATTTATTTCGCAGATCGATCCCTACTAATTCGAAGGTTTGGCCTTGGGACTTGTTAATTGTTAATGCGAAAGATGTTTTTACCGGAAATTGAAGCCGTTTAAATGGGATTGGCAGATCAGTTGGGATAATCGGTATCCTCGGTATATGAGCTAGTTGACCACTTGCTGGGCCAGTGATAATATTTGCTACTATTAAATTGTCCTTTAACTCCTTAATAAGCAGCCTCGTCCCATTACACATGTTCGGAGGGTTTAAATTTCTTAAAAGCATGATTGGGATTCCGATTTTTACGTCAATTAATGGGGTGGCAGTCCAGAAGGGTTCAACAAATTTAAAAATTCCTGTGGATAATGGACTGCATCTTCAATATTCGTTACAGTGTCGATCGATTTGTATGTTTTTGTTTGGCCGGGGACTTTTTGAACAATCAGATTATTTATTTCATTGACAGTATCATTCTTAGGTGATACTATAGCCAGAGAACACAGCCAATGGAAGTCTCTTTCGTGCAAATTCTCGATATCAGGGTATACAGAATCTATTAAATTTTCCAAATTATGGAGTATTTGGCCTAGAGACTCATCCAGAAGAATGTCACAATGACCGCTTAAATTTGGAGTTGGAAAAATTCCTTCCCCAAGTTTTAGCAGTTGCTGTGGGAAATCGCTATCAGTGATTCCATGAAGATGAGCTCTCATACTTGTCCTTAATTTTAATGTTTCAATCGTAGTCCATATGGGAGACGATTTCAAGCATGCCCTGATGATATCTGCTCGCGTGCCTCTATTAATAACGGGGAGAGTCTGTCGAAAATCTCCAGCAAATACAAAAGTAATCCCGCCCATTACTGCAGAGGAGTTCCTTAGATCCTGTAAGGTTCTGTTCACGGCCTCTATATGTGCTCTATGGCTCATCGTGCATTCGTCCCACATAATCAATGAGGCGTCTTGTAGTAATTTACCAATAGGTCCATTTTTGCGGATGGAACATGTAGATTGTTGTTCACGATTGACGGATAGTGGAAGTTTAAAAGTAGAATGAGCAGTTTTGCCATCCTTCAAGAGAGTTGCAGCATTCATCACAGCATCCCGCAAATGGATATATTCCTCGGACCGAAGTTTCGTCTGATTCAATCGAAGAGGCCTGACAGTATATGCAGACCTGATGCATCCGGCCAATAACGACATTCGATTCGAGCTGTAATCAATAGTTGGATTATTTCTGAATGCAAGACGATTGTATTGCAGGTTTTGATCTTCTGCAAGCTGTAAACGCGCTTCAGCTACTCTTGCCCTGTCGCGTTCATTATTTTGAGAGTGAATCAAATCGATTGCTGCAGAACGCGACTGCCTAACTCTCAATCGTTTTCTCTCAAGCCTATCTGCTCGTCTTTCTGATGATTCCTCGTTACTTACTTACTTACTGAACCTGAACAAAAAAATAAAATTTTTATCTCCAATTCCTTATTTCAATATGTTTTGAATGTTTGACAGGAAATGCTTTGGCTGCCTGTAGAGGGCGGTAGATGTGAGGTAGTTTTTTGATATTTTTTTAACACCTTGGATTACGTTATCGTACTTTTAGTAAGGATGCCTATTTTTTTTTTTAATGAAATAAAGCCTATGTCACTCAGGAATGATGTAGCTTTCCAATAGTGAAAGAATTTTTCAAATCTGCCAAGTACTTTCGGAGCCTATTCAATTCATACAAACAAACAAACAAACTCACCTTTCCTCTTTATATAATAGTATAGAAGTATAGATATAGATGATTTAAAGAATGATGATTTAAAGAATAAATATTTAAGGAATGATGATTTAAAGAATGATGATTTAAGGAATGATTATTTAAAGAATAATTTACAGTTTTATATTTACAGATATGCATTTTTCCTCTACATCTAACGATTGTTTGTATGGCACCTTTATGATACATTTGGCCGATTTTCATAAAATTTTACAAAAATGTTATAATAATATGAAATTGCTATAACTTACATTTGATGAAATTCAATTGAAAACTAAAAAAGATATAATTTTTAATTGTATTAATTTCTCGATCGTTCTATGGGAGATATATGATATTGTCGTCCGATTTTCATAGAATTTTACACAAAATGGAAGAATAATATGAAATGGCAATAAATTAAATTACATAAAAACCTGTTGAAAACCTTAAAAGTTGTAATTTTTAATTATCGATCGTTTATATGCTAGCTATTTGATGTAGCAGTCCGATTCTTATAAAATTTAACACAAATTTGTAGAATAATATAAAGTTATAATTGGTTTTCCTAAAATTTTCCGATTGTTTCTATGTCAGCTATATGATATAGTCGTCCAATTCGGCCAATTCCGTCACATATGTAAATGCACTCATGAAGAAGATGAACTACAAAGTTTTTTTTTGTTCAGATAGCTTCAAAACTGAGAGATTAGTTAGCGTAGAAACGGCAGACGGACAGACGAACATGGCTAGATCGAATCGGCTGTTGATGCTGATCAAGAATATATATACTTTATACGGTCGGAGGTGACTCCACTTCTGGCAATCATTACTTGTTCGAAAATTCAAAAATGTTTTAAAATATTACCTAAGTATATGTCAATACATACCATCGTAGTCCTTAATAAATTTACCGTTCACTTTCTCTTTTTGCACTGTTACAAATTTTGGTAATATATCCGGTACTATAACTTTCTCATTGATATTTTCAGAATTCATTATTTTTAATAGCATTTCTCTTGTTTTTAATTTGTTTTTTTTAAGACGTAAATAGTTTCATAAACAACAGTTTCTGGTGTTAAGTAACATTTTAATTCAATTTTTAAGCGTATTTCCAAATCTTTTCCTATATATTTTTTAAATCAATAGGCGAATGAAAAGTGATAAAATATTCTACTAACCCATTTTTAAATCATCTAATAAACGTTTTTATCCGGAGGTGACATGTTCCACAAAGTTCTTGAGTTTGCATCAAACTTAATTGCAGTAATATCCATTGCATCATACAATGTTATATGATCTGACGCATAATTATTACGGAAGCGATATTTTAAGCCTTCATAATCTGCATCGGAAAAATTATAAATACCAGAATAGGTTTGAGACACGTATATTGGTTCATAGTTGCTAATTTTTACTGTTATATCAGCCTTTGTAGGAGTATTATGTTTACCCACAGTTCCAACTAGAGCAAAAAGAAATAATGGGCTCCATACTAGGGTTACGAGAATCAATATAATAGTTCCACCAGTTAAGATTTTCACATATAAAGCCTTAGGTTCAGCACGTAAGACAGGAAAATCAGTATCCATCTGTCTATAGCAACGAACAATAAAAACCGATTGAAAAATGTCCTCCATTTTAATCCATTCCATAATTGTAAGAGTTGTGTCAATGCATACCCAATCTAACATTGTTCGAAAAATATACAGAAATGGTATCTCCATATACCTAAGTAGTATATATTAGTATTACAACCAATAAAGGAAAAACTTACTTACACTTTAAATGCTATATAATTAACTAACGAGTATCCTTTGGTAAAACATTTCCCAATATACGTTTTGGGTAACCACATCGAATTTGGTATGCAGATAAAAGCATATGAAGACATTTTATTAAATAAAACAAAACAGGTGCTGTTTCCCCAAAACTATGCGCCGTCATATAAGGAACCAAAAAGAACATCCAAATATGAATTCCAACAACAGTAATGTAATGAAATATAATTTTATATATCAAAGCTTTTCGAAGATAGATGGCACGCTCAATAACAATAGTTATAAATTGAACAATCAACATAATTACAAAGCTAAATGGAACTTTGTTTCCTTGAATGTATGTCTCCAAAACGCTAGTGCTATATTTGTACCGATACTGAAAAATAGTTTAAAATATGTACCTTTTTTTTATTATATTTGTATTTATACATCACGGTTTAAAATTGAAATATAGTGAAGGAAAAATTTACGCTCTTTTAAACTCTATATTGTGACGAATTATTTATTGCGCCTACTCTGCGTATAAATATACTAATGTATATTACATTTTAAATACATAAGTAAAAGATTATTTATAAATTATTTATTTTTATTTTATTTATTTTTATTTTATTATTAATAAATTTTTAATAAAAAAAATAATCTGTATTGAATTGAGTTGGATCAAGAAATAACTTTACTGAAGGTATATATATAGGCTGCATTCGTTGGTTTCGGGTCGTTTGTTTTTTCCGTCTGTTTACGTTTTCGTAAGAGGTCTGTAGCCAAGCCTATTATTAAAACTAGGAGGATGACGATAGATCTATAGCTAACAGGAGCTGACATTGTTGCTTTTCTTCTTAGTTCCCCGATCACTTTTGTGTTGATGATGTTTAGTTCTTTGACGATTCGAAGTGAGAGAACTTCTCCAAGTTTCATTTTTTTCCCATGAGTTGGAAAACTGGAGGTTCTGGTGCGGCTATGTTGATTTCTTTTGACTTGTACGTTACTTCGACAATATTAACCGTTGAGTTTCGGTATTGTATAATAAAAGAGCCATGTAGTTAAAGCTGCTTCCCATCTAGAGAAACTGGTCCATTTAAAATCCTTCAGCAGTGCCTGGCAGTATTTTCTCAATATCGGGTATATGTTTATTGTTAATTATCTTACATTCTGGTTAGCAGTAAGAATAACCGATTTTCGGGAACAAGTGTTCGAGTGCCCCGACAGGGATGTGGATACAAGTGCGATAGGAAGGGAGCGATCCCGAGCGATCCTGGAGCGCACGTGTACGTTCCCATGAACCCTCACTTGAAAAAAGGGACGGGGGTGGCATTGAAGAAGGGTGCTTCTAACGGAAAAATCCACGCTCTGCTCGATCGCGGAGCGCGCGTGGACTGTCACCCACAATCCTCCCTTTAAAAAGGGACGGGGTCTTAAGGAAGGGTACGTGATTTGGAACGAAAATTCCACGCTCGGATTGAAGGACGTTCACCTGCGATGCTCACCTGAAAAGGGACGGATGTGATTTACCTTGAGAGATACTAGAAAAGGTTATTTGTTTCCAATAAAAAGACAGTAACCCGCAATCGCCCCCTTGAAAAAGGATGAGAGGAAGCGGATTTTCCCACAATCATTCCATATGGAGTTCATCGAATGCGTGTGATGACATATACAATAAGCTTATCTAAATAGGGATGGAGAGTGAAAAGGATAGACTTGTAACGGTTTCACAGCGAAGACGGGGCTCGTATTAAAAAGGATGGAAAGGTTAGAAAATTTCAAGTGTTTGCTATACATTTTCTGATTTTCGTGGGTCTGCGTATAGACTAGTTGAGTACTAAGAATCACTTCTAGTTGGCGGTTTGAACTATCCAGAGTAGAAAAATTGATTCAATTTTAAAAGTTTATACAAAATTCATAAACTTGAAAACTACAAAAGTACAGAAGTGCAAAAGTCCAAAAGTGTAAAAGCACAGAACAGAAAAAAAAATAAATAAAATTAAATTAAATAAAAATCAAAAAACAAACAACAATCAACAAAAACAAAATCATCATTATCATCATCATCATCTTCATCTTCATCATCATCATCAACACCATCACCACCAAAATGTATGCCAACAACAACAACTACAACAACATGCAAGGAATTTTCTGTAACTCCTGTCAGCAGAACATTCCCATTAATGTGAAATGGCATTACCATGTTCGCACAGAACAGCACAAATATTTTGCTACCCGACCCCTAGATGGACAAGTAAAACAAATTATTGATGGATACAAGGGACGTATCCTTCAATATATGTTTACGAATGAGGGAACAGCTCTAAGGATTCCTGGTGAATTTTTGAATGAAACGGGCCAGGCGCTGCTCCCTCATATTGAAAGAGTTTTCAGTTTCCATACAGCGTCAAAAATAAAATTTGAGCTGTTGCGGAATACATGTTAGTTAAAGAACATGAACGCAAATAGAAATTAAATCGTTCCAAAGTAATATGAGTTTGGTTACGATATCATCCAACTTATTTGATTTATCCGATTCCCATACGGATAGTATAAAATCGAAAATGGATGAGTTCCAAGAGAAGGACAGTGGATGGACCCTAACACGCATACTTAGGGTGGAGTTGAACCTGCTGCAATGTGTTCCTCTCAAAGGATCGGAATATTTCGATCTACCTGCACGCCTTAAAGCCCGTAGAGCATGCATCAATGTACAGAACAAGGATGTTTTTTGTTTTAAGTGGGCCATCGTATCCGCATTGAACTCAAAGGAAATGGGAGAGCGGTGTAGTGTGTATGATGTTGAAAACAGACAAAATAAATGTATTCGTCAAACAAAACCTTCACATAAGTCTTAATGTATTGGGTATGGCGAAGATATTTTTGGACCCCTATTTACAAATAGAACTGAGAAGCAGCATCATGTTAATTTGCTATATCTGGATGGACCAAGCACCGATATTCACGGACATTATGTGTGAATCAAGAATATTTCCGGGTAAGCACACTCAAAAAAAAAAAATAAATAAATAAATAAAAAATAAATAAAATAAATAAAAAAAAAATACAAAAATATATATAAATATATGGTATGATGATAATTGAATAATTCAATTTTTAATTGTTAAATTCCAGCCTCCTTCCTTTCCTTCACAGTTAGGAAAAAAAAGGAAATAGGCGATGGTTCTGCAACAAGTGCCTATCCTTTTCGACGAGTAAGGAAAGGGCTCACCGGCACTCCGAAAGATGCAGCAACGTTGTGAGTCAACAACCGAAGGAAGGGGAAAATTAGGTCAAATTCAAGAATTTCCATCGCCAGCTGGAGGTGCCCTTCGCTGTGTATGCAGACTTCGAATGCATACTTGAGCCCACAACAATAGATGTAAGTGAAAAAACCCAATTAGTAAATATGCATGTCCCGATAGCCTTTGCTTACTAAATATATAAATGTTCATTCGACCCCTCTTTAGAAAAATTTGTATATAAGACCGGATTAAATGTCGGGCGCACTTTTGTAGATAGTTTAACATTCGATTTGTAGGCTATATACCAAAACTACATGAATTATGTAGTACCACTCCAAATGAGTCCACAGGATTCATATGATTTTGACGAGGCCCTCAATTGTCACATATGTAAGGGAATTTTAGGTAGCGATAGAATCAGGGATCACTGTCATTTTACTGGGCAATTTCAAGGCGCAGCACATAGTGAGTGCAACCTTAAATATAAGACAGGAGATTTTATACCTGTTTTCTTCCACAACCTATCCAAATACGATTCACACTGATAAAGAAATTAAAATAATTTCTTTGAATAAGGAATTATTTACTTCCATATCAAAATATATTCCATTAGGAAAAATAAGATGTAAATTCGATTTTTAGGTACCATTCGCTTCATGCTTTCTAGCCTAGACACACTTTAGGAAATTTAAATAAGGGGATTTCAAAGATCTTCGAAATCAATTTCCAGACATAAAAGATTCTCTCTACTTCGTAGGAAAGGTATATTCCCATATGAATACTTGGATTCTGATCAAAAATTATTAGAAACCTCTCTCCCACCTCGGGAAAAGTTTTATAGTACATTAACAGACTCAGAATGCTCTGAAGCTGATTATCTTCATGCCTTTCAGGTTTGGAGTCAACTCAACTGTCAAACACTTAGAGATTATTTGGAACTCTACTTAAAGACAGATGTTTTATTGCTCACAGACGTTTTCCAGAACTTTAGGTCTATTTGTTCAAATATCTACCAACTCGATCCTGCCCATTATTATACAATTCCGGGCTTGTCATGGGATGCGATGTTGAAAACTACAGGAATATCCCTCGATATTGATATGATAACATATATTCAATCTGGAATTCGAGGCGGAGTTGTTCAAAGTAGTCATAGATATACCAAAGCTAACCACAAATATCTTGAAGATTTTGACCCGAGTAAGGAGTCAAAATATTTAATGTATATGGATGCTAATAATTTATATGGATGGGCAATGTCAGATGCACTCCCTTATGGAAATTTTAAATGGTTGAATCAACCAGAAATAGAAATGTTTAATATTAATTCTATTTGTGAGGAAAGCGAGTATGAATATATTTTAGAGGTAGACTTGAAATATCCATACTCGCTTCACGACGAACACAATGACCTGCCTTTCTGTCCCGCAAACAGACTCCCTTCAAAGACTCCAAAATTAATAACCGATCTTACACTATAAAACTTTAAAGCAGTGTATAAATAATGGCTTAGAGCTCAAAAAGGTACAAAGTTTCCTGAGTTCAAGCAAAAACCTTGGCTAATGAAATATATAGGGCTAAAATATTTTCAAGAAAGACTTTTTAAAGCTTTGAATAACAGCGTCTACGGAAAGACTATGGAAATTAGTTAAAGCGCAAGGACATAACAGAATGGGAAGCCCCACCTGTGGGTTCTCAAGGTGGGCGTCGTAGATTAGCCAGGTCCAATTTTCATAGTGCAACAAAGTTTAGTGAAAACATGTATGAAATTCAAATGAATAGATTTCATAACGTTTGTGATAAGCCAACAGTTATCCAAATGGAAGATGTATGATTTTCACTTTTCATACATATATGAAAACCAAATTTTAAAATTCACTTAAACTAAACTATATGGATACAGATTCATTTATCTACTCTATGAAAACAGAGGATTTATATAGTGACATTCGTAAAGATGTTGCTTTAAAATTTGATACATCTGAATATCCAGATCAATTGGCTAGGCTATATAATTTCCAGCAGTTTAATAAGAAACGCTTAGGGTTCTTCAAAGATGAACTGCAGAGTAGGTCAATGACAGAGTTTTTGGGTCTTCGCTCGAAAATATATCCCTACACAGAAAAATAATGGAGTGCGTTTTTGT